TAAGTTTAGATTTAGAAAGGCCATAGGAAAGTATTGGTTTGTAAATAGGGTAGTTGATGAGTGGAACAGTCTACCTAGTTGGGTTATTGAGGCTAGGACTTTGGGTAGTTTCAAATTAAAGTTGGATAAGTACATGAGTGGGAGGGGTTCGATTTGAGTGTGACTTTCACATCAGAGCTTATTTCTTGGGTGGCATTGAAAATTGGGTTGGGCAAATGTTTTGTTAGAGGGATGAATTGTAAAGGACCTGCCTAGTATGGGCCAACAGGCCTCCTGCAGTGTTCCTCCTTTCTTATGTTCTTATGACCCACACTGGTTACCCACACCAGCTGACTAACACTCAGGATGCCACCCACACCAGTTGACTAGCACCCAAGATGCCACCCACACTAGTTGACTAACACCCAGGATGACACCCACACCAGTTGACTAGCACCCAAGATGCCACCCACACTAGTTGACTAACACCCAGGATGCCACCCACACTAGTTGACTAACACCCAAGATGCCACCCACACTAGTTGACTAACACCCAGGATGCCACCCACACTAGTTGACTAACACCCAAGATGCCACCCACACTAGTTGACTAGCACCCAAGATGCCACCCACACCAGTTGACTAGCACCCAAGATGCCACCCACACTAGTTAACTAACACCCGGGATGCCACCCACACTAGTTGACTAGCACCCAGGATGCCACCCACACCAGTTGACTAACACCCAGGATGCCACCCACACTAGTTGACTAGCACCCAGGATGCCACCCACACCAGTTGACTAACACCCAGGATGCCACCCACACTAGTTGACTAACACCCAGGATGCCACCCACACCAGTTGACTAACACCCAGGATGCCACCCACACCAGTTGACTAACACCCAGGATGCCACCCACACTAGTTGACTAGCACCCAGGATGCCACCCACACCAGTTGACTAACACCCAGGATGCCACCCACACTAGTTGACTAACACCCAGGATGCCACCCACACCAGTTGACTAACACCCAGGATGCCACCCACACTAGTTGACTAACACCCAGCATGTGACCCACACCAGTTGACTAACACCCAGGATGCCACCCACACCAGTCGACTAACACCCAGGATGCCACCCACACCAGTCGACTAACACCCAGGATGCCACCCACACCAGTCGACTAACACCCAGGTACCAATTTGCTGCTAGGTGAACAGGACAACAGGTTTAAGGAAACACGTCGAAATGTTTCCACTCGGCAGGAATCGAATATTTAGTACTAAGAATAATTAGTAATAATAATTAATCAATAATAATTAGTAATAAATAATTAGAAATAAAATAACAGTAATAACAATAGAAATAATAATAGTAATAAATGATAATAAATCATAATACGTAATAAATTATCACACTTCAGGCAAACTTAAGACTAGCAAGGTTGGTATGATGAAGTATAATGTCTTATGGGGTTGGTATGATGAAGTATAATGTCTTATGGGGTTGGTATGATGGAGTATAATGTCTTATGGGGTTGGTATGGAGTATAATGTCTTATGGGGTTGGTATGATGAAGTATAATGTCTTATGGGGTTGGTATGATGAAGTATAATGTCTTATGGGGTTGGTATGATGAAGTATAATGTCTTATGGGGTTGGTATGATTAAGTATAATGTCTTATGGGGTTGGTATGATGAAGTATAATGTCTTATGGGGTTGGTATGATGAAGTATAATGTCTTATGGGGTTGGTATGATGGAGTATAATGTCTTATGGGGTTGGTATGGAGTATAATGTCGTATGGGGTTGGTATGATTGAAGTATAATGTCTTATGGGGTTGGTATGATGAAGTATAATGTCTTATGGGGTTGGTATAATGGAGTATAATGTCTTATGGGGTTGGTATGATGAAGTATAATGTCTTATGGGGTTGGTATAATGGAGTATAATGTCTTATGGGGTTGGTATGGAGTATAATGTCTTATGGGGTTGGTATGATGAAGTATAATGTCTTATGGGGTTGGTATGATGAAGTATAATGTCTTATGGGGTTGGTATAATGGAGTATAATGTCTTATGGGGTTGGTATGATGAAGTATAATGTCTTATGGGGTTGGTATAATGGTAGTATAATGTCTTATGGGGTTGGTATGGAGTATAATGTCTTATGGGGTTGGTATGATGAAGTATAATGTCTTATGGGGTTGGTATGATGGAGTATAATGTCTTATGGGGTTGGTATAATGGAGTATGTCTTATGGGGTTGGTATGATGAAGCATAATGTCTAATGGGGTTGGTATGATGGGGTATAATGTCTTATGGGGTTGGTATGATGAAGTATAATGTCTTATGGGGTTGGTATGATGAAGTATAATGTCTTATGGGGTTGTATGATGGAGTATAATGTCTTATGGGGTTGGTATAATGGAGTATAATGTCTTATGGGGTTGGTATGAAGTATAATGTCTAATGGGGTTGGTATGATGGGGTATAATGTCTTATGGGGTGGGTATAATGGAGTATAATGTCTTATGGGGTTGGTATGATGAAGTATAATGTCTAATGGGGTTGGTATGATGGAGTATAATGTCTTATGGGGTTGGTATGATGAAGTATAATGCCTTATGGGGTTGGTATGATGGGGTATAATGTCTTATGGGGTTGGTATGGAGTATAATGTCTTATGGGGTTGGTATGATGAAGTATAATGCCTTATGGGGTTGGTATAATGGAGTATAATGTCTTATGGGGTTGGTATGATGGAGTATAATGTCTTATGGGGTTGGTATGGAGTATGATGTCCTGTGGGGTTGGTATAATGGAGTATAATGTCTTATGGAGTTGGTATGATGGGGTATAATGTTTTATGGGGTTGGTATGATGGAGTACAATGTCTTATGGGGTTGGTATGATGGGGTATAATGTCTTATGGGGTTGGTATGATGGAGTATAATGTCTTATGGGGGTGGTATGATGGAGTATAATGTCTTATTGGGTTGGTATGATGGAGTATAATGTCTTATGGGGTTGGTATGGAGTATAATGTCTTATGGGGTTGGTATGGAGTATAATGTCTTATGGAGTTGGTATGATGGGGTATAATGTCTTATGGGGTTGGTATGATAGAGTATAATGTCTTATGGGGTTGGTATGGAGTATAATGTCTTATGGGGTTGGTATGATGGGGTATAATGTCTTATGGGGTTGGTATGATGGAGTATAATGTCTTATGGGGTTGGTATGAAGGTGTATACTGTCTTATGGGGTTGGTATGATGGAGTATAATGTCTTATGGGTTTGGTTATGATGGAGTATAATGTCTTATGGGGTTGGTATGATGGGGTATAATGTCTTATGGGGTTGGTATGATGGAGTATAATGTCTTATGGAGTTGGTATGAAGGTGTATACTGTCTTATGGGGTTGGTATGATGGAGTATAATGTCTTATGGGGTTGGTATGATGGAGTTTAATGTCTTATGAGGTTGGTAATGATGGAGTATAATGTCTTATGGGGTTGGTATTGATGAGTATAATGTCTTATGGGGTTGGTATGATGGAGTATAATGTCTTATGGGGGTGGTATGGAGTATAATGTCTTATGGGGTTGGTATGATGGGGTATAATTGTCTTATGGGGTTGGTATGATGGAGTATAATGTCTTATGGGGTTGGTATGATGGGTAAAATGTCTTATGGGGTTGGTATGATGGAGTATAATGTCTGATGGGGTTGGTATGATGGAGTATAATGCCTTATGCGGTTGGTATAATGGAGTATAATGTCTTATGGGGTTGGTATGATGGAGTATAATGTCTTATGGGGTTGGTATGATGGAGTATAATGTATTATGGGGTTGGTATGGAGTATAATGTCTTATGGGGTTGGTATGATGGTGTATACTGTCTTATGGGTTGGTATGATGGAGTATAATGCCTTATGTGGTTGGTATGATGGAGTATAATGTCTTATGGGGTTGGTATGATGGGGTATAATGTCTTATGGGGTTGGTATGATGGAGTATAATGTCTTATGGGGTTGGTATGATGGGGTATAATGTCTTATGGGGTTGGTATGATGGGGTATAATGTCTTATGGGGTTGGTATGATGGGGTATAATGTCTTATGGGGTTGGTATGATGGAGTATAATGTCTTATGGGGTTGGTATGATGGAGTATAATGTCTTATGGGGTTGGTATGATGGAGTATAATGTCTTATGGGGTTGGTATGATGGGGTATAATGTCTTATGGGGTTGGTATGATGGGGTATAATGTCTTATGGGGTTGGTATGATGGGGTATAATGTCTTATGGGGTTGGTATGAAGGGGAGGGGGAACCAATACTTCCCATCCCTTGGATCAAGAGCCCCTGACTGCCACCACCCTAATTACTATTATAACCAAAACCAAGTGCTAAACCCGTAAGGGTCACCCCCTTAAAGCACTACCCATAAGGGTCACGCAATTAAAGCGCTAAACCCATAAGGGTACCCCCATTAAAACTCTAAACCCATAAGGGCCACACCCTTAAAGCGCTAAACCCGTAAGGGACACACCCTTAAGCTTTAAACCCGTAAGGGCCACACCCTTAAAGCTCTAAACCCGTAAGGGCTACACCCTTAGCTATAAACCAGCAAGTGCCACACCCTTAAAGCGCTACGCCCTTAAAGCTCTAAACCCGTAAGGGCTACACCCTCAAAGACGAGGGTGTCTTTAAGGGTGTGGTCTCCTCACCTCGACCAGCGATAATGACCCTTAGGGGTAACTCGCCCCCCCCCCCCCCCGACACAATCCCCGGCATTTAGGGCCCCAAAAAGGAAACAATTTTTTAAAGACGCGGGAAAAAAAATTAATGGCCAAAAAAACATGTGGGTAAAATTTCGCGCCAAATTTCATAACTGGAGTTACGGGCGATTCAGGACGAATCAGCTGACATGTAACACCCATTTTCCCCCCTAATTAACCCCCTAACTACCCAACTAACCACTTCTGGAGAATCTATGGCCACTCACTAGAAAGCTCTGATGCACACAAAGTCGAAATTCGCTCTACTAACAGGAAAAAAAAAATAAAATTGAAAATCCTTGGCAGCCGCCGCCGCTGACACAGGTAAACAAACCTCCATTAATTATTTATCTTTATTGGCAGATTTTTACTATATATTTTTTTCTCTGGCCTTTTTTTTTGCATTGGTAGATAGTAGATATTGATAGAAAAAATATATATAAATCTATTTATGGCCTAAAATTTATTTATTTTAAGATATTTGGGGACGATTTAGGCCTCCCAAAAATAGTGGTAACTTTGAATTAGGCGTTATATGTATTAATATATTTTTTGCAATGGTATTATAACCACATAGATGTAATATATACATAAAAAAGTACTCTAATGACACATAAATATTATATTAAGAAGTTCATGGTAAAGACATCAAAAGTTGGTATATATTTAGGTTTTATAAATAATAAAAAATTGTATAATGGTTCTATAGAGTCAATTACGTATAATTAAACTTAAAATAACACAATAAAACGAAAAACATTGTACAATATTACCCCTGAAATTCTCCTTCCCACTATAATTTAACCTGCCTAAGCATCATCTATTAATTAAAATCTATTTTAGCCACACAATTACATAAAAAATTAACACAATTATCTCTATTTTAGCCAATTAATAAAAAAAACTTTGCCGAAAAAATTCGCCAAATTTTTGTTGTTGATGACGTCATAGGTGTTGTCTGGTGTCACCCTGATAACATTATTTTCCTGATTTACAATGTTTCTGCAGCCTGATTGACCGTCCTGAGTGAGTGATCTGATGGGCAGCACCTCGCTCTTGATCCCAGGAGTGTGAGTGGTGGGACTAACCCCGGGGGAGATGAGATATAAGGGGGTTTAGTGGGGGGGTTTGTGATGGTGCAATTGTGGCGTCAATGACAGTTATTTAAGTCCCTTAAAGGGGCCCTTTATGCCCCTTAAGGGACGTGCTTACCCTTAAGGGGGGGTTTTGATCCAAGGGACGTGAGGGAAGATGAGTTATATGACTTATAGTGGTATAATTCTGTTTCGAACGACCCCTTACCACCGATAAGTCCCTTAAGGGGTCCCCTTTATGACCCCTTAAGGGACGTGCTTACCCTTAAGGGGGTTTTGATCCAAGGGACGTGAGGGAAGATGAGTTATATAACTCAGTGGTATAATTGCGACATTTCAAACGACCTCATAACACCAAAGTGTCCCTTAGGGGGGTCCCTTTATGACCCCTTAAGGGATGTGGCTCCCCCTTAAGGGGTTTTTGATCCAAGGATCGTGAGTGAGGATGAGTTATACGACTGAGAGTGAGATAAATGGTATAATTTTGATGTTCTGAACGACCCTTATTATCAGAAAAGTCCCTTAGGGGTTTTTTTAGGGGTCTTGGCTCCCCCTTAGGGAAGGGTTCCTTGATGCTGGGAAGGGGCTCTAGATCCTGGGAATTGGATCTATCCTTCCTTCCCTTAGATCAAACCTGACTGCTACCTATTACTCAGGTGTCTGCTACCCATTACCCAGGTGTCTGCTACCCATTACCCAGGTGTCTGCTACCCATTACCCAGGTGTCTGCTACCCATTACCCAGGTGTCTGCTACCCATTACCCAGGTGTCTGCTATCCATTACTCAGGTGTCTGCTACCCATTACCCAGGTGTCTGCTATCCATTACCCAGGTGTCTGCTACCCATTACCCAGGTGTCTGCTACCCATTACCCAGGTGTCTGCTACCCATTACCCAGGTGTCTGCTACCCATTACCAGGTGTCTGCTACCCATTACCCAGGTGTCTGCTATCCATTACTCAGGTGTCTGCTACCATTACCCAGGTGTCTGCTACCCATTACTCAGGTGTCTGCTACCCATTACCCAGGTGTCTGCTACCCATTACCCAGGTGTCTGCTACCCATTACCCAGGTGTCTGCTACCCATTACCCAGGTGTCTGCTACCCATTACCCAGGTGTCTGCTATCCATTACCTAGGTGTCTGCTATCCATTACCCAGGTGTCTGCTACCCATTACCCAGGTGTTTGCTACCCATTACCCAGGTGTCTGCTATCCATTACCCAGGTGTCTGCTACCCATTACCCAGGTGTCTGCTATCCATTACCCAGGTGTCTGCTACCCATTACCCAGGTGTTTGCTACCCATTACCCAGGTGTCTGCTACCCATTACCCAGGTGTTTGCTACCCATTACTCAGGTGTCTGCTACTCATTACCCAGGTGTCTGCTACCCATTACTCAGGTGTCTGCTACCCATTACCCAGGTGTCTGCTACCCATTACCCAGGTGTCTGCTACCCATTACCCAGGTGTCTGCTACCCATTACCCAGGTGTTTGCTACCCATTACCCAGGTGTCTGCTACCCATTACTCAGGTGTCTGCTATCCATTACCCAGGTGTCTGCTATCCATTACCCAGGTGTCTGCTACCCATTACTCAGGTGTCTGCTATCCATTACTCAGGTGTCTGCTACCCATTACTCAGGTGTCTGCTATCCATTACCCAGGTGTCTGCTACCCATTACTCAGGTGTCTGCCACCCATTACCCAGGTGTCTGCTATCCATTACCCAGGTGTCTGCTACCCATTACCCAGGTGTCTGCTACCCATTACCCAGGTGTCTGCCACCCATTACACAGGTGTTGTATAACACTGCCACCCATTACACAGGTGTTGTATAACACTGCCACCCATTACCCAGGTGTTGTATAACACTGCCATCCATTACTCAGGTGTTGTATAACTGCCACCCATTACTCAGGTGTTGTATAACACTGCCACCCATTACTCAGGTGTTGTATAACTGCCACTCATTACCCAGGTGTTGTATAACACTGCCACCCATTACTCAGGTGTTGTATAACTGCCACTCATTACCCAGGTGTTGTATAACACTGCCACCCATTACTCAGGTGTTGTATAACTGCCACCCAATACTCAGGTGTTGTATAACTGCCACCCATTACTCAGGTGTTGTATAACTGCCACCCATTACTCAGGTGTTGTATAACACTGCCACCCATTACTCAGGTGCTGTATAACACTGCCACCCATTACTCAGGTGCTGTATAACACTGCCACCCATTACCCAGGTGTTGTATAACACTGCCACTCATTACTCAGGTGCTGTATAACACTGCCACCCATTACTCAGGTGTTGTATAACTGCCACTCATTACCCAGGTGTTGTATAACTACCACTCATTACCCAGGTGTTGTATAACTGCCACTCATTACCCAGGTGTTGTATAACCCTGGGTAATGGGTTCTGGGAGTGTAGACTACCTCTCTAGCATGGACAGTAGGCCTAGCACAGTGCTACTGTAATATCAGCGTACCTCTGACAAGACAGTGATGGAGTGAATGATGATTAAAGTGTGTCTTCTTTTTTGGGTCGCCCTGTGTGGTAAAAATATATTACGGTTTATAAATTTCAACCATTCAGTAATATTACCCTCAATTAAGTCAATTTACTACTATTTCCCCACCCCCCCATTTAAAAAATAGGGCTTAGTATTCTTGAGTATTCTTTTAGTATTAATACAAATATTATCCATGAATATCTACACTACCTACTTTTTCTACCCTCCCCCCCCAAAGAAATAATAGGCCTTAGGACCCTGTGGCCTGGTGGCGAAAGCTCTGGCTTCACACAGCGAGGGTCTGGGTTCGATTCCCAGCGAGGGTAGAATTATTGGGCGAGTTTCCTGATACCGGTTGTCTTTGTTCACCCACCAGTAAAATGAGTACCTGGGTGTTAGTGAACTGGTGTGGGTCACATCCTGGGTGTTAGTGAACTGGTGTAGATCACATCCTGGGTGTTAGTGAACTGGTGTGGGTCACATCCTGGGTGTTAGTGAACTGGTGTAGATCACATCCTGGGTGTTAGTGAACTGGTGTGGGTCACATCCTGGGTGTTAGTGAACTGGTGTGGGTCACATCCTGGGTGTTAGTGGACTGGTGTGGGTCACATCCTGGGTGTTAGTGAACTGGTGTGGGTCACATCCTGGGTGTTAGTGAACTGGTGTGGGTCACATCCTGGGTGTTAGTGGACTGATGTGGATCACATCCTGGGTGTTAGTGGACTGATGTGGATCACATCCTGGGTGTTAGTGGACTGATGTGGATCACATCCTGGGTGTTAGTGGACTGGTGTGGGTCACATCCTGGGTGTTAGTGGGACTGGTGTGGGTCACATCCTGGGTGTTAGTGGACTGGTGTGGGTCACATCCTGGGTGTTAGTGGACTGGTGTGGGTCACATCCTGGGTGTTAGTGGACTGGTGTGGGTCACATCCTGGGTGTTAGTGGACTGGTGTGGGTCACATCCTGGGTGTTAGTGGACTGGTGTGGGGTCACATCCTGGGTGTTAGTGGACTGGTGTGGGTCACATCCTGGGTGTTAGTGGACTGGTGTGGGTCACATCCTGGGTGTTAGTGAACTGGTGTGGGTCACATCCTGGGTGTTAGCGGACTGGTGTGGGTCACATCCTGGGTGTTAGTGAATTGGTGTGGGTCACATCCTGGGTGTTAGTGGACTGGTGTGGGTCACATCCTGGGTGTTAGTGAACTGGTGTGGGTCACATCCTGGGTGTTAGTGGACTGGTGTGGGTCACATCCTGGGTGTTAGTGGACTGGTGTGGGTCACATCCTGGGTGTTAGTGGACTGGTGTGGGTCACATCCTGGGTGTTAGTGGACTGGTGTGGTCACATCCTGGGACAAAACTGACCTAATTTGCAGGAAATACACAACATAACAAGTGACTTTCTATATAGTAGTATGTCACTGATGTCAACTATGGTCTGTATACCTTATTATTATTATAATGTATTCTTAATAATACAATACAGTATAACTTAATTTCTTTTCTGCAATATTCAGAGTGTAGTTTACATTTAATAAAATATTGTTAAGGAGAAATAAAGCCACGAAGATGCCGTGTATTTTAGGTATAAGTGATGCTGCCATGTAAGCAAGCTTATTTAGGTAGTTACATAACTTTTAATATATAGCAGTATACGTGTTGATACACTGGATAACCCCCCAAAAAAGTCACTTATTTCCATTGTGGTCTATTTAAAATAGATGTCGGTCATTGTTACGTCACTGATAAGACCCTTGATAAGTGGTATCTCCTGAACAATGGATTGCTGATATAAATATTTAGTATAATTGTGATACTTCTGAGTGTTTAAAATGTGATTGTATATTCTGTAATTGTTGGGAATTGTATCACTATGGCTCAGAATTTGTGGCAAGAAATTAAGGTAAGACTTTTAGCTGAAATATAACTTGACTGAAGATGACTGAATTAGTTCCAGGTATTAATACATGTGTAGCAGTAGCCCAGAACCTAACTTGCTGTATAACTGGGGGCTCTCCTGTACAGCAGTAGCCCGGAACCTAACTTGCTGTGTAACTGGGGCCCTCCTGTACAGCAGTAGCTCGGAACCTAACTTGCTGTATAACTGGGGCCCTCCTGTACAGCAGTAGCCCAGAACCTAACTTGCTGTATAACTGGGGCCCTCCTGTACAGCAGTAGCCCAGAACCTAACTTGCTGTATAACTGGGGCCCTCCTGTACAGCAGTAGCCCAGAACCTAACTTGTTGTATAACTAGGGCCCTCCTGTACAGCAGTAGCCTGGAACCTAACTTGCTGTATAACTGGGGGCCCTCCTGTACAGCAGTAGCTCAGAACCTAACTTGCTGTGTAACTGGGGGCCCTCCTGTACAGCAGTAGCTCGGAACCTAACTTGCTGTGTAACTGGGGCCCTCCTGTACAGCAGTAGCCTGGAACCTAACCTGCTGTATAAGCAGGACCCTCCAGAGAGGGACCCCACTTATACAGCAGGTTATGATAGTTACATTCCAATGAACCCATATTAAGTTTAAAATATCATAAACCAGATAATTATATGATCTTTTCTTTCTTTCAACGCACCGGCCGTATCCCACCGAGACGGGGTGGCCCAAAAGGAAAAACAAAAGCTTCTCCTTTTAAATTTAGTAATATATACAGGAGAAGGGGTTACTAGACCCTTGTTCCTGATGTATATGATATACTAACTAAATAAATTACTATTGTCACTGAATAATTACTGTATTGTTGGGTAATTATCTTAAACTTTATCTCCAAAGTAATTGCTGCTGCACTGTTGTAAAGTCGAACCATCGTAAGTCAAGGACCACCTGTAAAGACAGCCAGATGTCACACAAATTTCTCAGTTATCATTTACAGTACTATATGACCCTAGTGGGTTTAGTGCTTAGTTTTGATTATAATAATAACCATCATTCATTATTTTGTATTGGTCATTTTGTTCCTAAGTCGAAACTTTATTTTTCCAGGCTGCAACCATGAGTGGGCGTGACGGCAGCCCCAAAATTTCTCTGGCACTACTGAAGGGCCGTGCTTCCAACCAGAGTGTGCCGAGTATCAGCTTCAGGTTTAATACTACAGCAGAGAATATCACACAGGTGTCTGAACCAGAAGAAGGTTAGTCCAGCAGTTAGGTTAGGTAAGGTTTGTCGGGACACAGGACAAATGTTTCTTGAATGTTTTTGATGATGACCTGCCATTGGAGCTTTTGGTCATCTGACCGAGGCCTTGCACTGGCTTATCGGTCCACCCCTATAAAGAGTGTGGATATTATCACCATTTTTTTCGGTTTTATTTTAACTCTGGCAGTCTCCCACTGAGGCGGGGTGTCTCCAAAAGAAGAAACCTTTCACCTATTAAACACTACATTGTCTTTATTTTTTTTAACATGTCCTCCCCACGAGGCGGGGTGCCCAAAAAAAGAAACACTTTCCCCCATCATTCACATATCATGTCTACCCAGAAGTAAAAATTCTTTATCACTAAAACTAGAGACAAATTTTTAAAAAAATATTGTATAAAAAATTATCACCGAGAACTGGTCATACATATAAAGCTCCCCTTTAGGTTTCCCGTGTAGTAACAAAATTTTTTTTCGAGTACTGTTAAAATTAATTATTTCTCAAAACCCCTAATTAAAACAAATTTTTTTTTTCCTCATAATTTTTTAAAAGGTTATTTTTATAAATAAATATTTCAATTTGAATTTTAAGGGTCTACTTAGCTAACATTTTATAATGGTCCTGTACTACAAGTTTTTAATGGTCTACTGTACTACCGTTTTAATGGTCTACTGAGCTACACGTTTATTGGTTCTTAGCTACACATTTTTAAAATGGTCTACTGTAGCTACACATTTTTATAATGGTCTACTGTAGCTCACGTTTATAATGGTTATGTAGCTACACGGTTTAAAGGGGCTACTGAAGCTACACGTTTATAATGGTCTACTGTAGTACACATTTTTAAATTTTGTCTACTGTAGCTACACATTTTAAAATGGTCTACTGAGCTAACAGTTTTTTAATGGTCTATGAGCCACACAGTTTATAATGGTCTACTGTAGCTACACAGTTTATAATGGTCTACTGTAGCTACACAGTTTATAATGGTCTACTGTAGCTACACAGTTTATAATGGTCTACTGTAGCTACACAGTTTATAATGGTCTACTGATACAAGTTTAAAAGGGTTACTGTGTACACATTTTATATGGCTACTGTAGCTACACGTTTATAATGTTACTGTGTACCGTTTAAAAGGGTCTACTGTAGCTCACAGTTTATAATGGTCCTGATACACAGTTTTTAATGGTCTACGTAGTACACAGTTTATAATGGTTACTGTAGCTACACAGTTTATTGGTCTACGTACCCAAAACATTTTTAAAATGGTCTACTTGCCAACAGTTTATAATGGTTACTGACCACAAGTTTATAATGGTCTCTTAGCCACACAGTTTATAGGGTTACTGTAGCCAACAGTTTTTAATGGTTACTGAGCTACACAGTTTTAAGGGTTACTGTAGCTCACGTTTTAAGGTCTATGTACCCACACAGTTTATAATGGTCTACTGTAGTACAATTTTTAAATGGTCACTGTACCCACAAGTTTATAATGGTCTCTGTAGCTAACAGTTTTAAAATGTCTACTGTACTACACAGTTTATAATGGTCTACTGTAGCCCCACGTTTATAATGGTCTACGTAGCTTCACATTTTAAAATGGTTTTACTGTAGCTCACATTTTTATAATGGCTACGAGCTACACATTTTAAAATGGTTACTGTAGCTACACAGTTTTAAGGGTTTACTGTGCTACACAGTTTAAAGGGGTTCTGTAGTACACAGTTTAAAGGTCTACTTCTACACAGTTTATAATGTTACTGTAGCTACAATTTTATAAGGGTCTACTGTCCACACAGTTTATAATGGTCTACTGTGCTCCAGTTTTAATGGTTACTGTGTACACAGTTTATAAGGGTTTTCTACTGTACCCACACAGTTTTAATGTCTACTGTAGCTACACGTTTAAAATGGTCTACTGTAGCTACACAGTTTATAATGGTCTACTGTAGTACAATTTTTATAATGGTTACTGTGCTACACGTTTATAATGGTCTAATGTAGCTCCCTTTTTATAAGGGTCTACTGTGCCCACAGTTTAAATGGTCTACTGTAGCTCCCATTTTATAATGGTTACTGAGCTACACGTTTATAATGGTTCTGTACACACAGTTTATAATGGTCTACTGTCTACACAGTTTATAATGGTTATGTAGCTAAACACGTTTATAAGGGTTACTGTAGCCCACAGTTTTAATGGTCTCTTAGTCACGTTTTAAGGGTCACTGTAGCCCAAGTTTATAAGGTTTACTGTAGCTACACAGTTTAATTGTTACTGTAGCCCCCACATTTTTATAAGGGTCTCTTAGCTCACAGTTTATAAGGGTTTACTGTACTACACTTTTATAATGGTCTACTGTAGCTACACAGTTTATAATGGTCTACTGTAGCTACACAGTTTATAATGGTCTACTGTAGCTACACAGTTTATAATGGTCTACTGTAGCTACACAGTTTATAATGGTCTACTGTAGCTACACAGTTTATAAGGGTCTGTACCCCAAAAAGTTTTAATGGTCTACTTTTGCTACACGTTTAAAATGGTCTACGTAGCAAAACCAGTTTTAAGGGTCACTGTAGCCACACAGTTTATAATGGTTCTGTAGCTACAATTTTTTTAAAATGGTCTACTGCAGCACACGTTTAAAGGTCACTGAGCCAAAAGTTTATAAGGGTTACTGTAGCTCAAGTTTATAATGGTTATGTACTACAATTTATAATGGTCCTGTGTCCCAGTTTATAAGGGTTACTGTACCACAAGTTTAAAATGGTCTACTGTGCCCACAGTTTTAATGGTCTACTGTAGCTCCAGTTTATAAGGGTCTCTGTACCCAACATTTTATAAGGGTCTACTGTCCCACACAGTTTATATGGTTACTGTAGTACAAAGTTTATAAGGGGTCTCTGTAGCTACCGTTTTTAATGGTCTACTGTAGCCACACTTTTAAAAAAAGGTACTGTGCTACACGTTTATAATGGTCTCTGTACCACACAGTTTTAATGGCTACTGTAGCTACACGTTTTAATGGTCTACTGTACTACACAGTTTTAAAGGGTCTACTGTAGCTCAATTTTTTTAATGGTTATGTATACACAGTTAAAAGGGTCATGAGCCCACAGTTTTATGGTTACTGTAGCTACAATTTTATAATGGTCTACTGTAGCTACCAGTTTTAAGGTCTACTGTCACACAGTTTAAAAGGGTTCTGTAGTACACATTTTATAAGGGTCTACTGTAGCTACACGTTTATAAGGGCTACTGCAGCTACAAAATTCAGTTTTTTGAAAATTTAGTGAAAAAATTTATTTTTGTGTTTTTTGAGACGAAAAAAGAATTAAAAGCGAATGTTGTTGGATCATCCTAGAAGCAAGTTCCCCCGGTTTTGTATTTCGTGCAGGTCGTTACGGAGTCTCCCCGGGGGAGAAACCTTGGTCCTCCTTCGGCAAGCGCCCTCTTTTTGGATAAAAAACAGCGCCCTTTAGTTGATTCTAACCACCTTAAAACCTCGGAGCGGCGGACTCTGTAGACTCCCAAAACATTCGAGGAAAAGATCAATGAAATTCGGGGAAGGGAAAAAGGGTGGCAAGGTCGAAAAGGAAAAAGAAAAAGATCTTTAGGAATAAGTGGGGAGGGTTCACGGAGAGTGAAGGGGGCGTAAGGGGGTAAATCTCCCCCCGTCTAAGGATAAGAGCCTCTTTATTTGTACAAAAAAATTTGAGAGGATAAATTTAAAAAAAGGAAGTAATGGGTTCCCCCAAAGGGCCCAAAACCCGATTGCAGGACATTTGAAATACTAGTAAATAAAGTCCGAGTCAGCAGCATCAGACCCAAATTTTCGGAGCGCGTTCGGCGAAGCAGCAAAGAAAATGCTAAAGTGCAAAAACAATTTCAAAAACAACAAAAACAGTAGGAACAAACCCCTTCCATTCACCCCTCTTCTTGGGCGAGATGAGGGGGGGAGAGGGGAAAGTGATAGAGTGGGATGAACGGAGGTTTTATAGGCAGGGAAGCGCATGAAGATCCCCCTATTTGACGAAGACCTCGCCGTCATGGATGCGAGGTGACCCTGTGGAAAAAAAACATTGAACAAAATCATCCCCGCACCAAAGTTACCACCCCAGAAGAGGAGTCTTCATTTTTGGCAGAAAAGGGGCAAGGTGTGACCTTCAGGAACAATTTCTAACATAGTGAACATGTTACCAGTTCCCTAACCTTTTTGTCCAAAAATATTTCATAGGGGTATTTTGCTTATGCTTTGTATACCCCTACCAAATTCCCGGCTGGGTTTTTTTGGTGGGTATGCTGGTTTTCAGGCTGGTATTCTACTGCCTCCCCACCCGCTGTGCCCTCCCAACCCCGAACTACCTCCCTTGTAGTGGTCCAAATTTTTCTTATCACTTCCCTCCCCTTTAAAATCAACAATTTTACAGGTTGTCTGCTAATTTTTATGATCTTACAGCGTACCAAACTAACCTGTGTATAAGTGGGGCCGTTGTACAGCAGTAAACCCCGACCTAGTGTGTATAAGTGGGGTCGCTTGTACAGCAGTAGCCCAGAACCTAACGTGCTGTATAAGTGGGGTCAGCTTGTACAGCAGTAACCCAGAACCTAACCTGCTGTGTAAGTGGGGCCAGCTTGTACAGCAGTAACCCAGAACCTAACGTGCTGTATAAGTGGGGTAGCTTGTACAGCAGTAGCCCAGAACCTAACGTGCTGTATAAGTGGGGTCAGCTTGTACAGCAGTAACCCAGAAACCCAACCTGCTGTATAAGTGGGGCCCGCTTGTACAGCAGAACCCCGAACCCAACCCGCTGTGTTTAAATGGGGCCAGCTTTTACCAGTAAACCCGAACCTAACCCGCGTATAAGGGGGCCGCTTGTACGCAGTAACCCCAAAACCTAACCTGCTGTTAAGTGGGGCAGTTGTACGCATAACCAGAACCCAACCGCTGTGTAATGGGGCCAGTTGTCAGCAGTAACCCCGAAATAAAACCCGCTGTATAAGTGGGGGGCTTGTACAGCAGTAACCCGAACCTAACCTGCGTGTAAGTGGGGGGCCGTTGTACAGCGTAAAACCCAAAACCCAACCCGCGTGTAAATGGGGCCAGCTTGCCCCAGAACCCCGAACCTAACCCGCTGTATAAATGGGGCCGTTGTACCGTAAACCCCGAACCTAACCCCGTATAATGGGGGAGCTTGTAAGCAGAACCCCGAACCTAACCTGCTGTATAAATGGGGCCGCTTGTTTATTGTAATAAAAATTTTTAGGTTTAGCAAGTTATTTTAACACACAGCCCTTTTCCCCCTGAGGTGGGGGGACCCCGGATAGAAGAAACACTTTTATCTCATCCCCCACTGCTTTTCAGATTTTGGGATACGCAGTTTTAAAAACTGCAAAAAAATTCAGTTGTCTTGTATAAAATTGATGTTGACTGAATTTGTTACTCTCTAATTCATCTTTTTTTCTTATTCAAGTTAAAAATTTGTATTGACAAGTTTCCCAGGATAAAAATTAAAATTTTTTAAATTTACAATTTTTTGTGGTTTTAAACTTGGTATAGTACTAACAAGTTGGCTCAGAAAAACAACAAACACTGTGGGGCATATTAGATAACATTTTGGGGCTGCTCCCAGGGCCCAAAAGTTTTTCAAATAAATTTTCGGATTTGCCCTGGGTTTTTCCCCATCATAGACCCCTCAGTGGATGGGGCTATGAAAGATGGGTGAATCTAGAATTTATGAGGGGAAAAGGGTGAGCGGTGCATTTGGGTCTGTGGAGACAAAGAAAATTTGTCCTTTGGGGCAAAAAGGGGGGAAGATGAGGTATAGTTTTTCCAAAGTCTTATATGGGTGGAAGCAAAGGGTGATGAATGTTGCAGCGAGGAGAAGGGTGGAGCGTGGAGAGTATGTCTGAGGGGGAAAGTGTGGTGTGAAAATAATGCAGAGAATTGTAGTTTGGAGTTAGGGGAGGGGCGGGATTACCAAAACTGTTGTCCCGAGGCGAGGGGGGTTGTTTAGTGGTTTGGACATGTAGATAAATGGAGTGAAAAAGTGATTCAAGAGTGTATCAGTCTGTGGGAAGGAAGGCGGGGGAGGGGGCGCCTAGGAAAAGGTTGGGGGAGGGGGTAAAGGAGGTTTTTTGTGCGAGGGGGTTTTTACTTCCAGGGGCAGGGTGAGGTGTTTGATAGGAGCGAATAGAGACAAAAAAGGTTTTTTTAAAACTTGACGTGCTGTTGGAGTGTGGCAAGTAACATTTTGAAGGGGGTTTGGGAAAACCCGGGAGGCCCGGGCTTGAGTCCCGGAGTGGGGTCAGTCCTCACTTGAAGGAGGGGTGTTAAAGTTGCAGTTTAAAAAATGTAGTGTAAAGCACCCCCTTTGGCAAGACAGTGATGGAGTGAATGATGGGGAAAGTTTTTTTTTTTTGGGGGCCCCCCTGCCCTTTGGGGGGAATCGGCCTTTTGTTAATAAAAAATAAAAATTTTTTCCAAAACAAAAGTTTTTTATCCATTTTGGGCTGGATGAACGGTTTTGAGGGGGATACGCCAGTCTTACCATGTAACCCCCACTCACCTGTGTTTTTAAACTTCAGGGCTCCAAAATTCAATTGATCCCAGAGGTTAGTATGGCATTTCTCTTCTGTATTAGTTAATGTCTTATTTATTTTGTGTAAAATAAATTATTATCACAAAACAGAAGGTACCAAAAAAATGTTTTGAACTTGAAGACTTCCCGTATTAGAAGTTTGTACACAGTTCGGAGGTCTTTAAGTGTTTGTAAGTTTGGGGTTTACGTGCTGCAATAGGAATTTTTTTTACTCGGTTAATTCTTTGCGCTCCCTCATTCAGATATTATTTTAATGTTTTTATTATTTTATTTTATTATTTTATTAATTGTTCCAGTCATGTATTTTAATTTTATGATCCCTTTAATGGACATTAAGGAGAAAATTTTTTAGGAAAGGTTTCCCAAACACGCCCGACAGAAAGAGGGAAACCGCCCAAAACTGTCTTTCACCCATCACGAGGTAGTCTGTCTGGCTGCCCCGGTTATGCTGTTTCTCGTAACCTGCACGCAGATGGTGAGTAGATGCCTTCAACCCGTTCCTGGGTGTTATCCCCGTTCTTGGGGTGATTTTTCCCCGTCTCTTGGGGTGTATATCCGTCTCTTGGGGGGTAATTTTCCAAAACGGACCCTCTGCATAATATTCACACTACACATTGCCCTCAGACACAACATCTCCACTGCCTTCAGCCTCCTCCACTGCCTTCAGCCTCCTCCACTGCCTCCAGCCTCCTCCACTGCCCCCAGCCTCCTCCACTGCCTCCAGCCTCCTCCTCCAATGCCTCCAGCCTCCTCCTCCAATGCCTCCAGCCTCCTCCTCTAATGCCTCCAGCCTCCTCCTCCAATGCCTCCAGCCTCCTCCTCCAATGCCTCCAGCCTCCTCCAATGCCTCCAGCCTCCTCTACTGCCTCCAGCCTCCTCCTCCAATGCCTCCAGCCTCCACCATTGCCTCCAACCTTCTCCTTGTTACAACATTCACCACCTATGCTTCACACTCGTATAAGAGTGTTGGTATAACCATACACTCAAACATTCCCCTCTTTGCTTCCATGGATAATGTTGTCTCTCTCCAGACTCCTCAGTGCACCACTCACTTTTGTCCCCCTCATCAATTCTATGATTCACCTCATCTTTCATAGACACATCTGCTGCCATATTCACTCCTGAATATCTGAACACATTCACCTCCACCATACTCTCTCCCTCCAATCTGATGTCCGATCTAAATCATTTATCCTCATCACCGTGCTCTTTCCAATGTTCACTTTTAATTTCCATCTGTTACATACACTCCCAAATTCATCCACCAACCTTAGCAACTTCTATGTACGTGTACTTTGTGGAAATAAAAAATGATTTATTTATTTTTTATTTTTTTTTTTTTATTTATTCATCAACCATTTCCCACTGAGGTAGGGTGACTTCATACAGAAGAAACACTTTGATCATCACTCACACTATCACTGTCTTCCCAGAGGTGTTTTATAAACCACTTCTATTATTATTATTATTATTATTATTTTTTTATTTTTTTATTATCACACCGGCCGATTCCCATCAAGGCAGGGTGGCCCGAAAAAGAAAAACTTTCACCATCATTCACTCCATCACTGTCTTGCCAGAAGGGTGCTTTACACTACAGTTTATTATTATTATTATTATTATTATTATTATTATTATTATTATTATTATTATTATTATTATTATTATTATTATTATTATTATTGTTATTATTTTAAAACTTCAAAGAGTATTTGTGTGTTTGCAGGTTGTGGAGTCGCAAATACCCTATTTGCATCCGTCTTCAGAGTGGGTCCAAGGAAAGTTCACCGTCACCCATGTCAATAGCATCAACACCCACAGGGTCTGCCCATGGTAGCCCAACGCGTTTTTCAGGCGCTCCAAGTATGTAGTTTTTCTTAAAACACCATTTGTCTTCCACCAAGGTTGGGTGATCTTAAAAAGGAGAAATACTTGCTGTAATTCAGTCTGTTGCTGTCTTACCAGAGGCATGATGATATTACAGTTCAGATGACCCTTCAGCCTGTAACATCCTCACTCATCCTTCAGAGTACAGGCACTGTACTTCCCACCTCCAGAACTGTAACATCCTCACTCATCCTTCAGAGTACAGGCACTGTACTTCCCACCTCCAGAATTGTAACATCCTCACTCATCCTTCAGAGTAGAGGTACTTCCCACCTCCAGAACTGTGACATCCTCACTCATCCTTTAGAGTACAGGCACTGCACTTCCCACCTCCAGAACTGTAATCTAACTAACCAGTTTCCCTGAATCCCTTCATAAATGTTACCTTGCTCACACTCCAACAGCACATCAAGTCATAAAAACCACTTTGCCTCCACTCTTAAGACACTAGCACGCCTGTTGGGTGTCCAAGCCCCTCGTACACAAAACCTCCTTTACATCTATCTATCTTGCCTTCCACTAGTGTATTGATTTACTGCAGTAGGACCAGCCCTTGCAACATTTGTGCATTCCTGACTTTTGTATCTACCTGTAGTTTTCAATTAGTGTTTGCAATGTGACCTTGTGCAATTATAATTTTTTATGAAATTCTAAATTATTTTCTTTATCAGTTTTCGGTAGTTTTCAATTAGTTTTTGAGGCGTTTCATATTTTAATTTTCTGTAGTCACATATATAGTAGAACCCAAGTTTCCATGGATTCAGTTTTTTTTTTTTTTTTATTATTATCACACCGGCCGATTCCCACCAAGGCAGGGTGGCCACCAAGGCAGGGTGGCCACCAAGGCAGGGTGGCCACCAAGGCAGGGTGGCCACCAAGGCAGGGTGGCCCACCAAGGCAGGGTGGCCCACCAAGGCAGGGTGGCCCACCAAGGCAGGGTGGCCACCAAGGCAGGGTGGCTTCCAAGGCAGGGTGGCCCACCAAGCCAGGGTGGCCACCAAGGCAGGGTGGCCCACCAAGGCAGGGTGGCCCACCAAGGCAGGGTGGCCACCAAGGCAGGGTGGCCACCAAGGCAGGGTGGCCACCAAGGCAGGGTGGCCCACCAAGGCAGGGTGGCCACCAAGGCAGGGTGGCCCGAAAAAGAAAAACTTTCACCATCATTCACTCCATCACTGTCTTGCCAGAAGGGTGCTTTACACTACAGTTTTTAAACTGCAACATTAACACCCGTCCTTCAGAGTGCAGGCACTGTACTTCCCATCTCCAGGACTCAAGTCCGGCCTGCCGGTTTCCCTGAATCCCTTCATAAATGTTACTTTGCTCACACTCCAACAGCACGTCAAGTATTAAAAACCATTTGTCTCCATTCACTCCTATCAAACATGCTCACGCATGCCTGCTGGAAGTCCAAGCCCCTCGCCCACAAAACCTCCTTTACCCCCTCCCTCCAACCTTTCCTAGGCCTTACCCCTACCCCGCCTTCCTTCCACTACAGACTGATACACTCTTGAAGTCACTCTGTTTCGCTCCATTCTCTCTACATGTCCGAACCACCTCAACAACCCTTCCTCAGCCCTCTGGACAACATTTTTGGTAATCTCGCACCTCCTCCTAACTTCCAAACTACGAATTCTCTGCATTATATTCACACCACACATTGCCCTCAGACATGACATCTCCACTGCCTCCAGCCTTCTCCTCGCTGCAACATTCATCACCCATGCTTCACACCCACATAAGAGCGTTGGTAAAACTATAATCTCATACATTCCTCTCTTTGCCTCCAAGGATAAAGTTCTTTGTGTCCACAGACTCCTAAGTGTACCACTCACCCTTTTCCCCTCATCAATTCTATGATTCACCTCATCTTTCATAGACCCATCCACTGACACGTCCACTCCCAAATATCTGAATACATTCACCTCCTCCATACTCTCTCCCTCCAATCTAATATCCAATCTTTCATCACCTAATCTTTTTGTTATCCTCATAACCTTACTCTTTCCTGTATTCACTCTTAATTTTCTTCTTTTGCACACCCTACCAAATTCATCCACCAATCTCTGCAACTTCTCTTCAGAATCTCCCAAGAGCACAGTGTCATCAGCAAAGAGCAACTGTGACAACTCCCACTTTGTGTGATTCTTTATCTTTTAACTCCACGCCTCTTGCCAAGACCCTCGCATTTACTTTCTTACAACCCCATCTATAAATATATTAAACAACCACGGTGACATCACACATCCTTGTCTAAGGCCTACTTTTACTGGGAAATAATTTCCCTCTTTCCTACATACTCTAACTTGAGCCTCACTATCCTCCTAAAAACTTTTCACTGCTTTCAGTAGCCTACCTCCTAACACCATACACCTGCAACATCTGCCACATTGCCCCCCTATCCACCCTGTCATACGCCTTTTCCAAATCCATAAATGCCACAAAGACCTCTTGGGCCTTATCCAAATACTGTTCACTTATATGTTTCACTGTAAACACCTGGTCCACACACCCCTACCTTTCCTAAAGCCTCCTTGTTCATCTGTTATCCTATTCTCCGTCTTACTCTTAATTCTTTCAATAATAACTCTACCATACACTTTACCAGGTATAAATCAACAGACTTATCCCCCTATAATTTTTGCACTCTCTTTTGTCCCCTTTGCCTTTATACAAAGGAACTATGCATGCTCTCTGCCAATCCCTAGGTACCTTACCCTCTTCCATACATTTATTAAATAATTTCACCAACCACTCCAAAACTATATCCCCACCTGCTTTTAACATTTCTATCTTTATCCCATCAATCCCGGCTGCCTTACTCCCTTTCATTTTACCTACTGCCTCACGAACTTCCCCCACACTCAAAACTGGCTCTTCCTCACTCCTACAAGATGTTATTCCTCCTTGCCCTAAACACGAAATCACAGCTTCCCTATCTTCATCAACATTTAACAGTTCCTCAAAATATTCCATCCATCTTCCCAATACCTCTAACTCTCCATTTAATAACTCTCCTCTCCTATTTTTAACTGACAAATCCATTTGTTCTCTAGGCTTCCTTAACTTGTTAATCTCACTCCAAAACTTTTTCTTATTTTCAACAAAATTTGTTGATAACAGCTCACCCACTCTCTCATTTGCTCTCTTTTTACATTGCTTCACCACTCTCTTAACCTCTCCCTTTTTCTCTCCATATACTCTTCCCTCCTTGCATCACTTCTACTTTGTAAAAACTTCTCATATGCTAACTTTTTCTCCCTTACTACTCTCTTTACATCATCATTCCACCAATCGCTCCTCTTCCCTCCTGCACCCACTTTCCTGTAACCACAAACTTCTGCTGAACACTCTAACACTACATTTTAAACCTACCCCATACCTCTTCGACCCCATTGCCTATGCTCTCATTAGCCCATCTATCCTCCAATAGCTGTTTATATCTTACCCTAACTGCCTCCTCTTTTAGTTTATAAACCTTCACCTCTCTCTTCCCTGATGCTTCTATTCTCCTTGTATCCCATCTACCTTTTACTCTCAGTGTAGCTACAACTAGAAAGTGATCTGATATATCTGTGGCCCCTCTATAAACATGTACATCCTGAAGTCTACTCAATAGTCTTTTATCTACCAATACATAATCCAACAAACTACTGTCATTTCGCCCTACATCATATCTTGTATATTTATTTATCCTCTTTTTCTTAAAATATGTATTACCTATAACTAAAATAACCCTCAATTTTGATTAATAATAACCCCAGACCACAAAATTAGTGATGATGGCAGTTGTTGAAGTCTAAGAGAAGTCTTGAAGTGCTTCCCATCAGTGAAAAAGTGATAACTCTCAACTTATTGCGCATAATTTATCAATTAAACTCTTATCATAGGTGTATACGTAAATGAAAAATGACTTATATACAGTGGACCCCCGGTTTACGATCAGCTCCCAATGCGACCAGTTATGTAAGTGTATTTATGTAAGTGTGTTTGTACGTGTATGTTTGGGGGTCTGAAATGGACTAATCTACTTCACAATATTCCTTATGGGAACAAATTCGGTCAGTACTGGCACCTGAACATACTTCTGGAATGAAATAATATCGTAAACCGGGGTCCACTGTATAAGGGTTGCTACTATCCATGGTTTTGGGCATCTATGGTAGGCCTTGGAATATATTCCTTGGGGATACCAGGGAATATATTTCAAAATCAAGAGTAGCATTTTAGTTATAATGAACACAGAACCGATAAGAGCGATGCGATTCTAGCTCATCTGAATTGTTATTCTCTTCACTTTTGGCAAATCAGCTATTGAGTGAATGATGATAAATGTTCTTTCTTCTCTTGGTAGCACAACCTTTGAGGAAAATATTAAGTTTTATTGCTGTATTTTTTTATATCTAATTTATTCCAGTTTTATTATATACATTATAGTGTATTTTTTCGTTATACAATCTTTGCATTCATTGGTTATTGAGGATATGTTGATGAATTAGATATATTGGTAACTTCTGGGTGTATTTTGATGCTTTGCCAGCCAGTGGCTGATACCCAGTGTGTGCCCGGATTATGCCTGGGGTATACCTTGAGGGGGTTTCGGGGGTCAAGGCCCCTGCGGGATGGTCCATGACTAGGCCTGGTGGTGGATTAGGACCTGATCAACCAGGTTGTTACTGATGGCTGCATGTAAATCAATGTAGATACCACAGCTTGGCTGGTCAGCTCCCTCTTGAAGGCAACCAGGAGTCTTGAAACAACCAGGGGTCTTGAAGACAACCAGGGGTCGTGAAGACAACCAGGGGTCTTGACAGCCAGGGGTCTTGAAGACAACCAGGGGTCGTGAAGACAACCAGGGGTCTTGAAGACAACCAGGGGTCTTGAAGACAACCAGGGGTCTTGAAGACAACCAGGGGTCGTGAAGACAACCAGGGGTCTTGAAGACAACCAGGGGTCTTGAAGACAACCAGGGTCATTTAAGACAACCAGGGTCTGAAGCAACCAGGGGTCTTGAAGACAACCAGGGGTCTTGAAGACAACCATGGGTCTTGACAACCAGGGGTCTTGAAGACAACCATGGGTCATGAAGACAACCAGGGGTCTTGAAGACAACCAGGGGTCATGAAGACAACCATGGATCTTGAAGACAACCAGGGGTCATGAAGACAACCAGGGGTCATGAAGACAACCAGGGGTCTTGAAGGCAACCAGGGGTCTTTACAACAACCAGGGGTCTTTACAACAACCAGGGGTCTTGAAGGCAACCAGGGGTCTTGAAGACAACCAGGGGTCATGAAGACAACCAGGGGTCTTGTAGACAACCAGGGGTCTTGAAGACAACCAGGGGTCTTGAAGACAACCAGGGGTCATGAAGACAACCAGGGGTCATGAAGACAACCAGGGGTCTTGAAGACAACCAGGGGTCTTGAAGACAACCAGGGGTCATGAAGACAACCAGGGGTCTTGAAGACAATCAGGGGTCATGAAGACAACCATGGGTCTTGAAGACAATCAGGGGTCTTGAAGACAATCAGGGGTCTTGAAGACAACCAGGGGTCTTGAAGACAATCAGGGGTCTTGAAGACAACCAGGGGTCTTGAAGACAATCAGGGGTCTTGAAGACAATCAGGGGTCTTGAAGACAATCAGGGGTCTTGAAGACAATCAGGGGTCTTGAAGACAACCAGGGGTCTTGGACAATCAGGGGTCTTGAAGACAACCAGGGGTCTTGAAGACAACCAGGGGTCTTGAAGACAACCAGGGGTCTTGAAGACAATCAGGGGTCTTGAAGACAACCAGGGGTCTTGAAGACAACCAGGGGTCTTGAAGACAACCAGGGTCTTGAAGACAATCCAGGGGTCTTGAAGACAACCAGGGTCTTGAAGACAACCAGGGGTCTTGAAGACAACCAGGGGTCTTGAAGACAACCAGGGGTCTTGAAGACAACCAGGGGTCTTGAAGACCACCAGGGGTCTTGAAGACAACCAGGGGTCTTGAAGACAACCAGGGGTCTTGAAGACAATCAGGGTTCATGAAGACAACCAGGAATCTTGAAGACAACCAGTTATGCACATGTCTGATTCATCAGCTTATTGGTGCTGTTTACCAGTAATATGATGATATCAGGATGTCCTTATTCATTTGACCCACGAAATATTAATAACACAATTGTAAACAAACAGAACAGATTGGGATTCAATTCATGACGTGTAAGATTCGTCTGTAAAAACTTGCACTTGTGGTCACAGTGGTGGCCCATCCTAACCTTCCTATAGTGTATAGAAATATACCTAGTTGTATGTATATTTTATTGTCGCCAGCTGGCCCAGTTAACACACTGGGTTAGTTGTTAACACACTCGCCCAGTTGTTAGAACACATGTCCCAGTTGTTAACACACTGGCTCAGTTGTTAGCACATGCCCATCTGTTAGACTGGCCAGTTGTTAACACACTGGCCCAGTTGTTAGCACACTGGCCCAGTTGTTAGCACACTGGCCCAGTTGTTAGCACACTGGCCCATTTGTTAGCACACTGGCCCAGTTGTTAACACACTGCCTGACTTGTAGGACTCACTCACCATGGGATTCAAAACCTACCTGTTCCCTGGTTTATTCAGTTGATCTAATGCAGCCTAACTATATCCCGTTACAGTATTATTAACGTTGAACAGATCTTGGGCGGCAAGGTAGTTCTGAGAGCGGCGAAGGCAACTGGAGTCTGGACAACAACAGGTCGTCGGAAGATGACCTGATGACCTCGTCACTAGATATGGCTTCGTTTGAAGAGGTGACACAGGACATGTGCCAGGAGAAGTCTCTCTATCTCTTCGCTCGTTCTGACAGAGAGAAGGACGACTGGTATTATAAACGAGTTACTGGGGGGGCTCAGTTTATTATTATCTTGAACAATATGTGTTTAATTGTGCACTTATTATATGTATTTATTTACGTTTCAATACTGGTATTGACAGTAATTATTTGTTTATTTATTAAGTGATGCTAGTTATTTATTTAGTTAATTTTTTTTTCAATGCATCAGTTGTATCCCACCCAAAACATGGTCTTTTAATGACAGTGTTTTGGTTAGACCAGTTTTCTTGATGTTTTTAAAGCAATGTTGTGTATCTCAGGTACAGGAGGTTGGTAGCAGCATCAGAAGTGGGCGTAAAGCCACACTCTTCACCCAGCCACAAACCTGCCAGTAAAGATATAGAGGATGTTATTCTCCTCGAAGGTATTCCAGAAGATCCTCTCAGTCAGGGCAGAGAGCAGCAGCATCAGGTAAGTGCAAAGTGAGTGATGGAACAGCCCACGGAACGGTCAGGGGATTGAACTCACGGAGAGTGAGTTCTGAAGCTGCGGGACTCACTTGCTGTGGGCTCAGTTCTTGTTTGTTCCGTGGTTGTTTGCAATTGTGTTATTATTTGTGAGTTGTGTGATGAAATGATATAAATGTTAGCTGGGCTTAAGTCCTGGAGGTGGGAAGTACAGTGCCTGCACTCTGAAGGTGGGAAGTACAGTGCCTGCACTCTGAAGGTGGGAAGTACAGTGCCTGCACTCTGAAGGTGGGAAGTACAGTGCCTGCACTCTGAAGGTGGGAAGTACAGTGCCTGCACTCTGAAGGTGGGAAGTACAGTGCCTGCACTCTGAGGGTGGGAAGTACAGTGCCTGCACTCTGAAGGTGGTATTTGGATGTTACACTTTGGAGGATCATCCAAACTGTGATGTTAGCATTTGTCTGCAAGACAGATATTCAATAATAGAATGATGGTGAATGTATTACCTTTTTATTTTGGAATGGGGGGGGGGGGGTTCAGTCTCGGTGGAGATGACTAGTGTCTTTTTAAAGGCTTTGGAAATCCTTGAAAGTTTTCAAACTCAGTGGTTGCCTCCCACTGAGGCAGGGTGAACCTTAGAAGAAAATGCATTCTCCAATATTCATTCAATTGCCTTCTTTCCAGAATGTACTGACATTAGTCAGTTTACCCTCTGACTGCAACATCCTCACTCATCCTTCAGAGTACAGCCACTGTACTTCCTCACCTCCAGAACTGTAACATCCAGCTAGTCATTTTTCTCTAAGTCCTTATATGAGTATTAGACATGTGCAACACCCAGTGACCTTATCAATACAATACAAGGACATAATGGGAAGACTGTAGAAGCACAGTGGACCCCCACCTTACGATATTAATCCGTTCCTGAGGGCTCATCGTAAGCCAAAATTATCGTAAGTCGAATTAATTTTCCCCGTAAGAAATAATGGAAATCAAATTAATCAATTCCTGACACCCCAAAGTATGAAAAAAAAAATTTTTTTGCCACATGAAATATTAATTTTAATACACACAAACTGAAGAAGACATGCACAATTACTACTCTACTAAGAATAGAATACATGACACTTACTTTTATTGAAGATCTGGTGATGATTGATGAGATGGGAAGAGGGGAGAGTGTGGATGGTGTTAGTGTTTAGAAGGGGAATCCCCTTCCATTAGGACTTGAGGTGTCAAGTCCTTTTCCGGGGTTACTTCCCTTCTTCTTTTAATGCCACTAGGACCAGCTTGAGAGTCACTGGACCTCTGTCGCACAACAAATCTGTCCATAGAGCTCTGTACCTCCCGTTCCTTTAAGACTTTCCTAAAATGGGCCATAACATTGTCATTGTACAGGTTGCCAACACGGCTTGCAGTAGCTGTGTCAGGGTGATTTTCATCCGTAAAGGTTTGCAGTTCAACCCACTTTGCACACATTTCCTTAATCTCTTTTTTCAATTCCATACTAATTCTCGCCCTTTTTACCACAGGGATGACACTAGAAGCTTTCTTGGGGTCCATGGTGACTTATTTTGTAGTTACAAGCACTAAAAACACTGGGATAATGTGAAATGTACCGAATATATGCGTAGATGCGACCACACTGGCTGGCTTGTAAACACTGGCGCTGAGGCCACACGTGGGACGCTTCCTGAACGAATCGCGTAAGGCGAGTTTTTTATCGTGAGACGAGGCAAAATTTTTGCGTTCAAATGCTTCATATGGCAGATTCAACGTAATGCGATGCGTTCATAAGGTGGGGGTCCACTGTATATACAAAAGCTGAGGTAATCAGCCCCTCAGTCTTGTAGTTGGTGAAGAGCATTGTAGTCTTGATGACTGAAGCACTGCCAGGAAGGTTGACTTTATATACTGGCAACCTTATACAGTAGTCCCCCCAATATCTGTGGATGTACGTTCCAGGGCCTACCATGGATACCCAAAACCATGGATAGTAACGAACTCTATATATAAGTCGTTTTTTTTTTACATACATACCTATGATAAAGATTAATTGATAAATTATGCACAATACGTGGAGAATTATCACTTTTTCACTGATGAGAAGCGCTTCAAGGCTTCTCTTAGACTTTGAACAACTGTCACCATCACTTTTGTACTTTTGGGGTCAGTATTAAGCAAAATTAAGAGTTATTTTCTGGCCAAGGTAAACCATGGCCTCGGAAACTGAATCTGAGGATGTGTGGAGTCTGTCGTATAAAAATTACCTCCCTTACACTCCAACAGAAAGTTTATTAAACTAATATTTTATATTTCATAGGATGGAGCAGCATCAACTCCTCCAGAAATGAGCTTCGAGCGGTACATGGCCCGGCTGCTGTACCAGCCAGGCGGCATGTCGTCAGATGGTACGCCTGGACCAGCAAACGTAGCCTGGGTCAATGCTCTGGCCGGCCGGATCTTTTACGATTTTTTACGTAACCCATATTGGGCCAATAAGGCAAGTGTGTACTGTGTCTTGTGACGATATTATATTTGCACTGTTTAATAACTCCAGCTTTTAAATTGTTTTGTATTTGTACAGAAAAACCACAGTTTGAGGGATCCGAATTATCGAATTCTAGATTAAATGGACAAAATTTGTTAAATCTAAAATGTCCATTATTGTTGCTGTCCAACGAGTTTGGATTAAGCAGATTTAGTCTGTTAAATCCAGATTTGTCCTTTTACCCTCATGATCTTGGAAAAATCTCCCATGTTTATGTATCTGTGCACCTCTGGCAAGACAGTGATGGTGTGAATGATGGTGAAAGCGCTTTTTTTTTTGGGTCACACTGCCTCAGTGGGAGACAACCAGTATATTGAAAAAATTACACATGGGGTGAGAAAATGGCTTATATTAAAGAATATTTGTGAATAATAATTATTATAAAAAGTAAGCGCTATAACCCACAAGGGTTATACAGTGCATGGATAGTAACATTCTTAACAGTTTGCAGATTTTTACAAACATTATCTCTTTTCCACAGCAGGATTCGAACCTGCACACTCGGCATCAGAGTACACAGTACTTTATACTCTGATACTGAGTTTGCAGGTTTGATTCCTGTGGACTGAGAGATAATGTTTGTGATTAGTAATATGTTTATTAATGTTCTTAAATTTATTTTGCAGGTACAAGAGCGTGTTCAACGGAAATTGAGCAAGCTTCATGTTCCTTACTTTGTGGGAGATGTGGTTGTGTGTGGAGTGAACATGGGGTCAGCAACACCTCAATTGTGTGCTGTTGGTAGTCCACAACTGGACTCTAGGGGTCTGTGGGTCGACCTCAATGTTGAATACTCTGGTAATTTTACAATGAGTTTAGAAACTAAGTTGGACCTTATGAAGCTTAAGCGAACGACTGGCTTGGAGGGACACACTCCAAATACATCATGTCCTCCCAGTCCAGCAGAACCTGTGCCACATGCTGGACCACGGGTGTACACGCGATCACCGTCCTCCGACCGCCTCCTCCGTAATCTCCACTTTGATACTGATACAGACGATAGTGTTGAATCTTCAAGCGAGGAGGAAGGGGAGGAGGAGGGGCTAGCAGCAGAGGCTGGCCTACCTGTAGGAGGCAGCGGGCCAACTTCCCGACGCTTGTTAAGGCTGGTCGACACAGTGGCAGGATCTCGCTACTTCCAGCAGGCTGCTGAGTGGAGGTTGCTACAAAGAGCCCTTCAGGGTGTGAGCAACACACGGATAGAGCTCAGCGTTGAGGTGCGGCGACTTGCGGGAACCTTGGCACTTAATGTCCCTCCACCTCCTGCAGATCGACTGTGGTATGGGTTTCGTGGGGTCCCTGAACTGGTCATGGTGGCTCGGCCTAGGCTCGGAGATCGCATTCTCAACCTACCATTTTTAGTCGAGTTCATTCAGAAACAGCTGAGAGTCATATTTGAAAAGGTATTTGTATTACCCAACATGGATGATATTGTCATACCCATAATGTCTCCACTCCTCCCTGGGCAGCACCAACAACCACGACCTCCATGGGAAACTACCCATGTTACAGCACCAGTAGATACAGTCCTGCCTATCCTCAAAACCACTAGCTCAAGTGTCGTAACTCCTACTGTCAAATTCACTCCTTCTCCACACTAGTAGCATCATGCAGCTTAAATATCTAATGTAATGTGTGTGTAAACAGAAATATATATCAGATGTAATACAGGAGAACCCAGTGCATACACTATCTATTTTTGTTCTATGTTTTTGTTGGCTTTTAATTGTTCCATTGTTCTTCACGTTCAGTGCTTTTACCGCTGAGCCGCTGTTATCACCATTTTCATACAATAGTTGCGTAAGGGAAGGACAACTGGCGCCGCATTTAGAGGTGTATAAACGAGGCCTTCAAGGGTCCCGTTTGTACACTTCTAAATGTGGTGCCAGTCATCCTTCCTTTGTGCAATTGTACAAAAAATGGCAAAAACAACAGCTCGGTGGTGAAAGCTCCGAACATGAACAGTGGCTCGATTGAAAGCTAACAAAAACGTGTAACACCATAAAGAAGCACTATATGCGCTTGGCGCTCCCTGTTTGTCTAAACAGAAATGTATCAAATATGATGTCTAAGCAGATTGTATCTTGTAAGTCACACCAAATGATCATCATAACAGTAGCAGGTTATGCATGTGTAAATATACTCCCTTGCTGATGCAGTCTTGAGAGCATTAATGTTCACATTTGTATAGCAGTGAAGGATAGTCTGATTCACAACTGTCCCACAGATTGGAAGTGGAAGTAGATGGTCCAGTCCATTATGGACCATCACTGGTCCAGTTTGATAAAGATACAAATGCAGTATAACACAATCTTTTATCAGAGTTTTTCCTACATAGTACCCTTATGGGTTTAGCATTTAGTTGTGATTCTTTTCAACACACAAACGGCCATATCCCACTAAGGCAAAGTGACCCAAAAAGATTTAATAATTTATACACGGGTTACTAGCACCTTGCTGCTAGCATTTTAGTCACCTCTTATGACACACACGACTTACGGAGGAAGAATTCTGTTCCACTTACCCATGGAGATAAGTTATGATTATAATAATAATTTGCCCACGTTGTGAGTTTTGCAAAATCAGCAACTTGAAAATCCAACGTCATTATCATTATTACAATTGTAACTAAGCACTAAGCCCACCAGGGTCATACACAACTGCAAAATACAATAAGTTATTGAATTACAAACACATTGGGGACCTCCTGAATTATGTATAATATAATACAGTATGTCTCCAACTTACAAACACATTGGTACCTACTGTATAATAATGATATAATGATGATATACTCAATACAGAAGATTCTCAACGTATGTGTAAGTGTAGGACTTACTTACTGCATTGTATCATTATCCATCCTGTCTGTATTTCTACCATCCCTCTCCTGAGTGGTCAAGGATAGTCCAGAATGGTGTCTAGTTTTGCTTCCAATTTGTGGGTTAGTTGTGAATTGTTCCAGCTATGATATGGTGACTTTTTCTTCAAAGATGAAATGGATTTGTCTCTGGGAAATTGAGAGGCTCCATATACTTCTAGTCTCTTTTGTATTTACAGGTATGTTGGTTAGTTTTTTTTTTTTTTTTTTTTTTTTTTTTTTTGTGAAGAATAAGGTGAGCAGAATCATTATATTGGTGCTACAATGAGTGGAATTTTTTTATATAGATTTGTGTTTTAAAACAAACACACTGACACACGCACACACTGACACGCACACACTGACACGCACACACTGACACGCACACACTGACACGCACACACTGACACGCGCGCGCACACACACACACACACACACACACACACACACACACACTGACATGCACACACGCACATGGAAGTAATGTCCATTAGAAAACCAAGTTCTCTGTTAAGTACTGTAAATTTGTAATATAACAGTTGAACAGAGTGATAAAAGTGACTGAACGTTCAGTCAGCATCACACAACTTCCAGACCTCTGGTTCACATCCTCTCACTCTCTTAAGGGGCACGCCAGTTCCCATCTTCTAATAATGTTATTTTCCCCTATGATCTACCTTGTCTATAATTACGTACTATCGCATTTGCTTCGTCTGTTTTCGCAAGGCGAAGTCGAGGATCCTTCCTTAATTCATGGTATAACTTAATAAATATTTGAGCTTTGCTCACACTTCTGCAACATAACTGTCCTCGGAGATTTGCTAAGTTATACCATAAATTAACCCTTAAACGGTCCAAACGTATATATACGTTTTTTCAACATTTGAAAGTACGTAAAAAATGTACATCATCTTTTTTTTTTTTACATTAGAAAATGTGTAAAAAACTTTTATTTACATTTTTTTTTTTTTGTTATATTTGAAAATACAGTGGACCCTCGAATTTAGTTCTGCCGTTTCTGTATGCAAAACTATTTTTATTATCTATAAAATGTATTGTTTGTTAAATTTTTGGGTGTCGGAATGGTTTAATTGGATTTACATTTTTTCCTTTGGAATATTAACAAAACATACTTTTTAGTAATAAAAAAAAGTTTTGCTACAGAAAGGCCCGATAAATTTGAGGGTCACGTATGAAAAAAAACGATTATTTTTTGGATCTTAGGATTTGAACTCGATCTTTTTGGGGCCCGTTTGGGGGTTTTAAGAAAAGCCCTGGACTTCTTTTTATAAAGGGACAAACAGATGAAATTGTAATTATGGAAGGGTGATTGTAAAAAAATTATTATTATTAAATCAAGGGGAAGCACAAAAACCCTGGATTATACAGTGCTTGGGGGAGGGATGGAAGGTATTGGGTTTTAAATCGGGGAAATGGAGCACAGATCCAGTTCCCCTAGTCAAGAGCCCTCCCCAGCTCAAGGAACCCCCTTGAGGGGTTGTGGGGAAAAAAAATAAACATGTTTTAGGAGACAGGAACTCAGGTGCCCTTAAACTGTCTCTTACGCATTTCATTTGCAAAAAACAAATTGAGATAATTCAGAACATGCAAAAAATACCCGTTTTTTTTACGAAAAACCTAAATAAAAACATTTTACGGGACAATACTCTAATATTTTGTAAAAATTTTTTTTTTTTAATTGTGAAAAACTTGTTTGTACAATATAAAATTTTTTTTTTCCCAAGAGGGAATAATTTGATTTAAGGAAATAGGCTGTTGGTGTCAGTGAACTTAGACCCGTCTTAATGGTATAATTTAAACATTTTTCCGAGTTTCAAAAATTTTAGGCTCGGATATTTAAAATGACGAAAATTTTAATGGGGCATTTATAAATTATCCTGGGCATTTGTGAAAGAAAATGAAAACACGCCGTTTTTTGTTAAATATGTTGTAGCTGGATGTAGGCCTAGCCAGAGTGTAGGCCTTGGGGAGTGATCAAATTGTAGCTCCGTGAGGATGGCAGGTGCTTTTCTTTATCCTCAGAGTGGCAGAGAAGTGGAACCCGGGTTTGGTAGCAACGCAATGAAGTGGTATAAGGGGTCGGTATGTCAACACTTTCGTAAGTACTTGGCCCGCTGGCGATGACTTATGTATGACCTGGAGTTTTTCGACTGGGCATGGGGTTTGAATCACATCCGTTTTTTGGTTTTTTTGTAGCACTTGCCTTCCTTTGATGAGTTTGAGTTTTTCCTACTCCTGGGCCCGGCCCTGGCCAGGGGGGTCTGGTACTGTTGGGTTAAACCCGGCTGTTGTTGTGGTTTTTGAACCCCGGCTGGTTGGTTTGCCTGGCCAACCCGGTGTTTGGGTGGGGGCCACGCCCCACATATCCATCAAGCCTGGTTATCTGGCACCCGGTGAGATCTTGTCCAGTTCTTTGAGAATTTACATTGTTCCAGCAGTGTTTTGATTTTGAAGACTTCTACATTTTTCCAGCAGTGTTTTCTGTATCTTGAAAACTTTACATTGTTCCCCAGTGTTTCTGATTCTTGAAGGCTTCTCACTTGTTCCGCGTGTTTCGATATCTTGAAGGCTTCTCACTTGTTCCCGCAGGTTTTGAAAACTTGAAACCTACACTTGTTCGCAAGTTTTGATATCTTGAAGATTTTCACTTGTTCCGCGGTTTCTGTTCTTGAAGACTTTACACTTGTTCCCGCATTTTTTTCTGATATCTTCTGTAAATGTTGAAATAATCTGAAACCACAGATGTTGATGTAGTGTTTTTTTTTTAAGGCTTTGACACAGTTCCTCACAAGAGATTAGTGCAGAAGCTAGGCATCAGGCGCATATAACAGGAAGGGCACTGCAATGGATCAGAGAATACCTGACAGGGAGGCAACAACGAGTCATGGTACGTATGACGTATTCACAGTGGGCACCTGGGGACGAGCGGGGTCCCACAGGGGTCGGTCTTAGGACCAGTGCTATTTTTGGTATATGTGAACGACATGACGGAAGGGTTAGACTCAGAAGTGTCCCTGTTTGCAGATGATGTGAAGTTAATGAGGAGAATTAAATCTGATGAGGACCGGGGCCAGGACTTCAAAGAGCCCTGGACAGACTGGACACCTGGTCCAGCAAATGGGGCTTCTCGAATTTAATCCTGCCAAATGCAAAGTCTTGGATAGGGGAAGGGCACAGAGGACCGCAGACAGAGTATAGGCTAGGTGGACAAAGACTGCAAACCTCACTCAAGGAGAAAGATTTGGGGTGAGTATAACCCCGAGCATGTTCCGGAAGCACACATCAATCAGATAACTGCTGCAGCATATGGGCGCCTGGCCAAACCTGAGAACAGCTTTCCCGATACCTTAGCAAGGAATCATTCAAGACACTGTACACGTGTATGTCAGGCCCATACTGGAGTATGCAGCACCTGTTTGGAACCCGCATTGATAAAGCCCCGTAAAAAAACTAGAGAAAGTACAAAGGTTTGCAACAAGGTTGTTCCAGAGCTAAGGGGAATGTCCTATAAAAGAAAGTTTAAAGGGGAAATCGGCCTGACCACACTGGAGGACAGGAGGGTCAGGGGGAGACTTTGATAACGACATATAAATACTGCGTGGAATAGACAAGGGGGGACAAGGACAGGATTTTTCCAGGGAGGGGACACAGGAAACAAGAGGCCACAATTGGAAGTTGAAGACACAAATGAGTCAGAGAGATAGTAGGAAGTATTTCTTCAGTCATAGAGTTGTAAGGCAGTGGAATAGCCTAGAAAATGACGTAGTGGAGGCAGGAACCATACACAGTTTTAAGACGAGGTTTGATAAAGCTCATGGAGCGGGGAGAGAGAGGGCCTAGTAGCAACCGGTGAAGAGGCGGGGCCAGGAGCTAGGACTCGACCCCTGCAACCACAAATAGGTGAGTACAAATAGGTGAGTACACACACACACACATGGAAGTAATGTCCATTAGAAAACCAAGTTCTCTGTTAAGTACTGTAAATTTGTAATATAACAGTTGAACAGAGTGATAAAAGTGACTGAACGTTCGGTCAGCATCACACAACTTCCAGACCTCTGGTTCACATCCTCTCACTCTCTTAAGGGGCACGCCAGTTCCCGTCTTCTAATAATGTTATTTTCCCCTATGATCTACCTTGTCTATAATTACGTACTATCGCATTTGCTTCGTCTGTTTTCGTAAGGCGAAGTCGAGGATCCTTCCTTAATTCATGGTGTAACTTAATAAATATTTGAGCTTTGCTCACACTTCTGCAACATAACTGTCCTCGGAGATTTGCTAAGTTATACCATAAATTAACCCTTAAACGGTCCAAACGTATATATACGTTTTTTCAACATTTGAAAGTACGTAAAAAATGTACATCTTTTTTTTTACATTAGAAAATGTGTAAAAAAAACTTTTATTTACATTTTTTTTTTTTTGTTATATTTGAAAATACAGTGGACCCTCGAATTTAGTCGTGCCGTTTCTGTATGCAAAACTATTTTTATTATCTATAAAATGTATTGTTTGTTAATATTTTTGGGTGTCTGGAATGGTTTAATTGGATTTACATTATTTCCTCTGGGAAATATTAACAAAACATACATTTTATAGATAATAAAAATAGTTTTGCATACAGAAAAGGCACGACTAAATTTGAGGGTCCACGTATGTAAAAAAAAACATAGATCTACTTTTGGATCTCTACGGATTTGAACATCGATCTATTTGGACCGTTTAAGGGTTAAGGAAAGATCCTGGACTTCATTTTATGAAGCGGACAAAGCAGATGCGATAGTAATTATGGACAGGGTAGATTGTAGGGAAAATTATTATTATTATAATCAAGGGGGAAGCACTAAACCCATAGGATTATACAGTGCTTGGGGGAGGGATGGAAGGTATTCAGGTTTAACTCAGGGAACTGGAGCACAGATCCAGTTCCCTAGATCAAGAGCCCCTCACCAGCATCAAGGAACCTTCCTTGAGGGGATTGTAGGGAAAAAATAAACATGATATTAGGAGACAGGAACTCAGGTGCCTCTTAAACTGTCCTCTAATACAGCATTTCATTTGACAAATACAAATTGAGATAATTCAGAACATGCAAAAAATACCCACGTTTTTTTTCACGTAAAAACCATAAATAAAATCATTTTACGGACAATACTCTAATATTGTGTAACAAATTTTTTTTTTAATTGTGAAAAACTTGTTTGTACAATATAAATTCTTTTTTTCCCAAGAGGAATAATTAGATATTAAAGTGAAATAGGCTGTTGGTTGTCAGTGATACATTAGACACGTCTTAATGGTCATAATTTTAAACATTTTACACGAGTTTCAAAGATTTTAGGCTCGGATATTTAAGTGACGAAACTTTTAATGGGGCATTTATAAATTATCCTGGGCATTTGTGAAAGAAAATGAAACACAGCCGTTTGTGTTAAATATGTTGTAGCTGGAGTGTAGGCCTAGCCAGAGTGTAGGCCTATGGTGAGCTGATCAAATTGTAGCTCCGTGAGGATGGCACGGTGCTTTTCTTTATCCTCAGAGTGGCAGAGAAGTGGAACCGGTTGAGTAGCAACGCAATGCAAGATGGATATAATGGATACGGTATGTGCAACACTTGCGTAAGCTACTTGGCCAGCTGGCCGAGTGACTTATGTACTGACCTGGAGTTTTACGACTCGTTGGCCATGGGTTCGAATCACATCCGTTCTCTGGTTTATGTGTAGCACTTAGCACTTACCTTTGATGAGTTGTGAGTTTTTCCTACTCCTGGAGCCCGGCCATGGACCAGGCTGGTCTGGTACTGTCTGATTAACCAGGCTGTTGTTGCTGGTTGCTATGAACCAGGCTGGTCTGGTCTTGCCTGGCCAACCAGGCTGTTGCTGCTGGAGGGCCACTGCCCCACATATCCATCACAGCCTGGTTGATCTGGGCACTGGTGAAGATACTTGTCCAGCTTCCTCTTGAAGACTTCTACACTTGTTCCAGCA